AGTGCGACAGGGATGGGTGGCCAGTGCGACAAGGATGGGGAGCCAGTGCGACAGGGATGGGGAGCCAGTGCGGCAGGGATGGGGAGCCAGTGTGACAGGGATGGGGAGCCAGTGCGGCAGGGATGGGTGGTCAGTGCGACAGGGATGGGGAGCCAGTGCGGCAGGGATGGGCTGCTCCTCAGAGATCACGGTGCGTTCTACCCAGTGGCCTCTCTCTGCTCAGGTCAGTGCCCAGCACCTCCTGTTCGAGGTGTTCCTGGGGGAGCTCCAACTGGCCGCCCTCGAGCTCCCAGGGGTGCAGGTGGATGACGGCCAGTGGCATCACATCCTTGTGGAGCTGAAGAGCACCAAGGATGGGAAGGACATTCAGTACAAGGCCATGGTGTCACTGGACTACGGAATGTTCCAGGTAGAAACACATTGAATGTGAGGTGCTGGTTTTACTGGAGAGATGGATGTTTCACCTAATATCATGCACACCTTTGGAGAACTTTGGAATACAGTCATTGGATGATATTACAAAGTAGTGTTTGCCAACCTGGTCCTCAAGAACCGGCAGACAGTCCATGTTTACCGGTAGCTGGGAGGGAGCAAAAACGTGGACCGTCTGTGGGTGGCTGAGGACCGGGTGGGGAAACACTGTTATACAGAATTTTAATATTCTAATGTTTCCATGATATAGAACAGTATTCTGAGCTTTATTTTCACTAAAGAAGAAGAAATTGACAAAGTAACAAAATATGCCCGTTAGTTCAGTAATTTACAGAGAAAGTAAATGATCAGCTGCTGTGGTTAGCTTAGAGGTTTAGTGTCAGTGTCTGAGGTTATGACAAGGAGGCCGGAACTGTGTGGGGTCTCGCCCACAGCGGGCCGTGGGGATCGGGAGCGAGCTTCCAGGCCTGCGGCTGAAAAGCCTGTTTGTGGGTGGAATTCTGGGGGACAACGGGACCGTCCGTGACGGCTTCCATGGCTGCATGCAGGTAAGGAGCTTCTGTTAGCAGCGCCACCTACAGGTAGATTAAGGAAATTTCCTGTAAGGGGTACCAGCTTCTCACACTGCCGCTCACATGTAGTTATGTGCAATTCCCCGCTATTGGTCCCCTCTCCCCCTCCCCTTTTGAAGCAGCATACCTGTGCTCACCTGCAGAGGGCAGGCCGTAAACCCGCACTGTCTTGTAGGGTGTTCGTATGGGTGAGACGGCCACCAACACGGCCAACGTGAACATGCAGGAAGGCCTGGCGATGGGAGTGGAGGACGGCTGCTTGCCCGCGGACCCCTGCGCCTCCCACACCTGCCCCGAGCACAGCCGCTGCAGCGACCTCTGGAACGCCTTCTCCTGCGTCTGTGATCCAGGTGCAAGAACCGAGACTTCATATCTAACTCCCGACCGGTGCTCCGAAGCACCTCGATAGACCTACCCCCCCAACAATAAAGCCAAACTGGGGCGATGGCAGCTGGTGTGTGGCTCGGGAGGTTAGGCCTGTGTGTCTGTCACTGGAAGGTCCCCGGTTTGAATGCCATCCTCAGCAGGGCAACTGAGTAGCTACATCTTTGCTGGGCCCTTGAGCAAAGCCCTTAACCCCCTATAAAATGTTGCTGGGGTGTTGGATAAAAGGCTGACCCTGTGCTCAGACCCCAGACATCACTCTCACCTGTGTGTGTCTGTCTGTGTCTTAATGTTAATGTTAAAACGTTAGTCTGTTCTTCTACTCTGGACCTGAACTACCCACCCCTGGATGTGTACTGTGGACTGCCCCCCCCCCCCCACTACGCCGAGGGAATTTTAGCATTGAGGAGCAAATCACAAAATACAGAGCAGCATCAGTGATTGTCATTGTCCAGCAGCT